TCCAATCCTCGTGTGTTCGGAATGAGCTAGCCTTTCGGATGCACTCAGCTCCCTGACAGGACTGAGTTTGGTACAGGCGCCCGCCATACCATACCGCCTGTCGCACCGCCCTTCCCAACCCTCCTCCCTCCGACCCTTCTCGACGAAAACGAAAACGAAACCTTCCCACGCCCGCATGCTCTGCCTCCTACCGTGCGGCACTCAATCCACATGGTCAAGGAGTATAGACCACCGGCTGGACCTAGACCAGCCAGCTTCTCGCCGACCAAACAGTACGTCTGTCCTTCATCGACATGCCAAGGGCCCCTCTCCCCCCCCTTTCAACCTCCGTGCCTGCATCGACGGCTGCCCCTTCCCGCGAACCTTGACTGACCCTTCCTCTTTTTTTTGTGCTTCTCCAGTATCAGGGATCTTTCGAATCCGAACGAACCACACTCCTTCCAAGAGCCACGAGTCGACGCCTCAATGCTGAGCACCTCGACGACCAACGGCCACCCCTTGTTTGCGTTCGGTGGGGGGAATGGGCCTTCTGTTCAAGACGGCGGAGATTCGACGGGCGCCTACGACTTTTTGCCCTCTGTGAGCTTTGACGATCTCCAGAGCAGCCTCGAGTCCGCGTCCACCGACTTCAAGCTGACCCAGTTCCCATCACCCACCGGCCAGGGCAGCATCCTCGAGTCGGGCACCATGACTGAAAAACCACCCACCGCTCTTCCCAGTGCCAGCACGCCCCGAGCCGCTGGAAACGCGCCCCCCGTCTCGCGCCCGGGGCGGTCCGGCTCCATACTCAGGCGACCCAGCACGTCGACCCGACAGACGAGCATTTCATCCACCATGTCGGCCTCGTCTGGTGGTGGTGGTGGCGTGGCGTGCTCGACGCACCGACGGCCCCCGCCGCCATGGCGGGCGGAGACAGAGAGACATCGCGGGGGCTGTCGGACGAGAGGAGTCAGCCAGGCAGAGAAAAAGGGAATAGAAAAAAAGAGAAAGGGCAAAGGGAAGACGCGGGGGAGAGAAGAAGAGGAAGGGAGACACGACGGAGCGGAGAACGGGAGGC